ATAGCCAACAAATGACACTGCCTTAAATTTGTATGGTGTCTTACAATTAACCAAGTACTTTCACATACATCACAGTACATTTCATTCATTAAAACTTTTATGCTATGTTTTTATATTCATCTTACAGATGAGGAGCTGATGCTCAGCGATACTGAAAGTGACTTGCCCAAGATCCCAACTAACTGGTATAGCCAAGTCGCATATCCAGGTCTTGTGAATTCAAAGTCTGAGCAATTCTCCATTATGCTATGCCATGTCTCTTAAACTTATGTTCTGATGAGGTATAGTACATCACTTATTTTAATGAGCACATAAAGATCTAGAACTTACTTATGAATTGAAGTATATGGAATCTAATTTATCCCTATGAAGTTTCAATAAACAAAGTAAAAAAAAAATGTATATAGTCTTATCACCAATTATGGGTCCTTATTTAATTAATGTTCTTAATTTTGATTTCTCATGGGTAATGATGCTGGCTATTAACATTTGAAACCTAAGAGACAGTGTGATTTTCATGATTACGAAGTCCTAGCATTTATTTATATAAAGGAAATTTTAGAAGGACATTAAGTATTTTACAGTATAACGGTCCATACCATACTTCACCTGGTATACTATTTCCAAAGGCGGCAGATATCAGATGGTTGGATAGAAAAAAGCAGAAAGTAACAAGCTATGAAACAAAGGTTCATATTTCATGGAGAAATGTTTCTGCTTCATCCTAGTCTGCCACCAGTTTAAGAATAGTTATTATAAAAGTTTTGGATATGAAACTTCCAGAAACGTCCTCATTTCTTAATTACACAAATTCTAAAACAAAAGCATAAAAAAATTATAGCAGCACTATCCGAGGTATGGTTGAATGATGTATTATCCTTTTTAAAGTGATAGATTAATACAAGTTCTATACAAAAGCTAAAAATTACTCACAGATTAAACAAAATGACAATTTTGTTGAAGCTGTGGATAATTGTTTTGATTATTTGAAAAAGTCTATTTTATGTTTCTGAATGATAACAGAGTGGTAACTTTTTGCTAAGTTAATCTAGGAGTCATTTTAATTGGCAAAACCAACTTTTAAAAAATATTTAATTCATCCCCTGCCCCTCAGCTTTTACTTGCTTCAACATAAAATTACGAGTCATTTCTATTTTTCTTAGGTCAGTGGTTCTCAATTTTTATTAATCTCTTGAGGTACTTGTTAAAAGTACAAGTTCCTGGACCATATTAAATATTATCCCAGAAGCTCGTATTAACCAATGAGCAGTATCTTTAAAATCCCATTCTTGACCTACTAGTATTGCCTTTTCAAGGATAATATTAATAATCAAGGAATTGGAATATGTTGAAATTATCCAACTCTACTCATAGCATTAATTTATTCAACAAATATTTACAGAGGGCATACTATGTGCCCCTCACTAAGATGCACAGCTTAGATATACATATAGGAAAAATGAATCTAAATAAAGATCTTACTTGTTTCTTCGCAGCACGCTTAGCTTGTACCTGTTCATATTCTTCTTGTGCTTTTTGATTTGATGTTTTCTTTTTATTTTTCTTTGGAATAGTAATGGAGCTTTATTAAGATAAATGAAAACGAGTTACAAGGATTAAAAACAATATAACCAAAATTATGACAATTATGTCAAATATAGTACTTGTATAGTAAAATCTCACTAATGCAAATTAATAGAGGGGGGAAGGGAAGAAGATAGAGGATATTAATTTATTAATAAAATATGCAAATATGTTAAAAAACATAGTTACAGCTTTTAAGACATATATTAAAAGATGGTAAATGGAGACTCTTGGAGAAACATTTCAACCAGGGAAAATACAGAAAGATATGAAAGATCTTGGAATGTTAAAAATTTTTTTAAACAGAAACAAACAGAAAACCAGTATATGAATGGCAGAAGTGACGGACTGCAAAAGGTATCAAATTAAAGGATATTATGGATCTTGGGGTGTACATGAACTTTAATCTCAAAGTTCTTTGACCACTTTTTCTCTATTCCACTTGGTCCACTTAGCCATAAATGACCACACCTCCATTTAGAACTGTTCTATCTTGAAGTATTACTCATTTCTCTGAAGATGTCTTAGCCGGCTGTAGCAAATTCAACCACTTAAACCCAGATTCCATCTATTTCCTCAGAATATAATTCATTGAGAATTTTCCTTTTTCCTGTCTCTCAATTTCTCACTATACCAAGTTCAAAACCACAATGTAACATATTTCAGTAGCTATCTTCTTAAACAAATGCATAAATTATTTCTCACCGAACTCTATATCCTCTTCTAACTACCACTCTCTCATTTCTCATCCTTTCATAGTCAAATATTTAGAAAGAATAGTGACTAGACTAAAATAGTTCACATTTACTCTTTAACTCTGCAGTCTGATTTCTGCTCTCATCACTCCAGTCAAACTATCCATGTCAAGGGTAATGACCTTCTAGCCAAATATGATGATCGAGTCAAGAGGAACTTTTCAGTCTCATTTAATTGACTATTCACTACTTTTGAAAATACAACTCCCTTAGTTTTGGTGACATTCTTCTCTGCTGATCCTTTCTAACTGCTCTTTCTCAGTGTGCCATGCTAAAGCCTCTTTCTTTTTTTTTTTTTATTCCAGGTTTTTTGCCAAGTGTTTCTCTCTTTGGTCTCCATATTCTTCTTGGGTAGTCACATCCACAACCATGGCTTTGGATGCTAGATGTAAAGCTGAAAACTTAATCGGGGTTAGCTACTGAAAATCTGCTAAGGTCACTAGTGACAGCCTAGATCACAAATCCAAAGACCTGTTCTCAGTCCTGTTTTTCTTAGACTTTATAGTATTTGAGAGTTGACCAATCTCTAGTTTGCACAATCTTCCTCTTCTGACATAGCTGCCACTGTAGTCCCCTTTCTTCAATTAAGGCAGTTCTATTTAACTTCTTCAGTGACATTTTCTTGCTCTCACCTCAAAATAGGAAATCTTTAA